TAAGCTCAAAATGAAAAAGATTGTGACATGACCAAAAAAAAAAAAAAAGTAAGGTGGCAGCCATATATGTTTATAACTTGGCCTGCTTGATGAATATAATTTTTAAACACTGGGTTTACAGAACAAAGGCTTGATTACTAGTTTCTCTAAAAAAAGTTTTATTTTTTTTAAAAAAGTAAATTTATATATTTATTAATTATGTAATATATATATTAATTATAAGATAATAAAATATTTTTTAAATATAACATTTTTAATATGTTAAATTTAATGTTCTTTAACTAATCAAAATCACTTCAAATTTAAGGAATTCACAATAATGATCTAAACAACATTTACCCAACAACAAAAAAAAAAAAAAAAAAAAAAGGATGAAACCATGTACGTACCTACCTTATAAATGAAAACGTCCTTACTAGCTGAATTCTTAAGACTAATAATTTAATGCTAGTGCAACTTTCTCAGCTCAAATAAGAAGAACGTGACGTGACCAAAAATATGAGGTTACAACTATAGCTGTACGAGTTGGCCCTGCTTGTGAAGAAATTAAAAGAAAGAAGGAAAGAAATTAAACCTGAAAGACGGGTTCGCTGTAAACTCCGGGGGAGATTTGCAGAGCGTGGTCGGCTCCGTCATTGAAGGCCCATGTCCGGCAGACGTTGAGGCCGACGGCGGCAGCCTGGCCAAAGACGTCGGTGATTTTAAACCTCTCAGTGGGCTGCGAAGCGACATTCATCAGCCAGTACGAGTTGAAGCCATTGAAGAGGAAAGGAGAACCGTTGATCAAGAACTCGGTGCTTCTTGTTTGAACGAATCCCCATGGCGGAGCGTCAGCAGCAGCGGAATTAGCTTCCAGAGAAACTATAAAGGCGAGAAAAAGGAGACAAACTCTGGGTATTATCATGACAATGGCGGCCATTTTCTTCAACCTCGAGAATTTTGTTTGATGAGGGAAGAAATGTGTCGGGTTGGTTGCTGGGTATTTATAGGTAGACGCAATGTGTTTGCTTTCGGGTCGGGCCATGTGAAATTCTGAGCAAAATTTGGGATTGGAATCATGGGATCTGCGCAAGAGAGATGATAATATATGAATCTGTTATTGTGACTAATTTAATTTATTTTTTGTAAGTAATATTTCAGAAATAAAAATTTCAATTATATTTATATACGGGTATTTTTTAAAAAAATTATTAAAAATTAATTTTAACCCACAATATATATAGATTATTGAAGGAAATTCCTTAGTTTAATTTTTAAATTTAAAAAAAAAAGAGACTAAAATGATATATTGATGATCATATTAAAAAATAGAAATATAGAAAGCTTCTAATTAGGAGTAAAGTGATGTCTAGTTGAGAAAGAGGTTGCAAAAAGTTGGTGGGGGATTCAGTGACTTTAAGATAATGCATTTTATATTTAAAATAATGCAATTTAAATTTACTAAATTTGTCAGAATTTAAAATATATTTTTTTAATTAAATATAAAATTTTATATATAAAAAAATTATTTTTTCAAAAAAAAAAAAAAAAAAAAGCTATACGCAAAGAAACTGTTTAGAGTAGTAATGGATGTGCGGGCTAATTAAACAGATGATGTTTTCTCTGCACGACGTTATAAATGTCTGCGTTACGGGTTACTTTGCTGACGTAGTCCCGTAATGTAAGTTGCTTGCTGGGGTAGTTGTGGCAATTTGTAAACTATGGTCCCACATATACATATATATTACGTAAATTAATACATTAATTATCACATTATGATAAATTAATAAAAAACTCTAAATAACTATACAAATTAGAGCATAATACAACTCAAATTCTCAATCTGTTAAAATTAATTAATAATTTAATTTCCTTTTTTCCTTAAATAAAAGGATCACTCTTCATCAGCCACTCAGAGAAGACGAGAGTAAGAGTTAAAACATTATGGTCGGAACATGAATCTACTGGCTCAAAATAACTCAGTGTATATGCGTCATTTTTCTGAGAAAAGACAAGGTGCAGGAACTGAAATTCAGGATTGGTTACATATCCTTACCTTTTCTGGTACATGACTTCATAAGCATTTGATATATAAATATAGATTTCACGTATTAAAAATAAATTATTTTTAAATAAATTACAAAATATTATTGAAATTCGAATGCTTAATTGTAACACCCAAAAAAAAAATTTATTTTATTATTATTATTATTATTATTTTATTGTATTATTTTTAATTAATTCT